GACTAAATAATGGACCACAAATCATCAGCAGTTTTCTTCTTAAACAATACATGTGTTTGCCCATTCTTTATAGTAAACCACTCTCTTTTAAAATGGTTTCATTATTGCATTTTAACACTCCTGCCAAAAACTATGTAAAAATCAGAAACACTGCTCAAGTTCAGTGACATAAATGTATTTCCTGCTTGCAATCTGAAAGAAGCTCAACTCTGCCTCCTGCAGCAGCAACAATAGAATTAATGACCAAATTCTGACTGCAGTAATTTTACTGATGACAGCAAAGAAATTTTCAAATCTTAGTTCTATACTATCATGGCTTGAAAATACATTTTTTTGTCCTTAACCAGTGTTAGTGGTTATTAAATACAGCTGCCCAAAGAAAATATCTAGAATCATTCAAACTGCTGTTAGTCCCTTCATGTATGACCTATTTTTTTGTGATTACTAGTACAGAGTCCTGCTTCAGTAAAGTAACAAACTGTTCCTTCCTAACCACCTGCCATCACCACTTACAGAACGCTGAACTATAAAGACCTATAATCTGATCTAGTAGTATGGTCTTAAAGGAGAACCATTATAATTTGAAATAAGAATCAATAACTCTATAAATTTACAATATTTATGCTTTGTAGGATTGCCTCTACTGCACTCAGTAGCAATACTGAAATGAAAGGAAGATGCTTCCTTATCATATGTAGATAATATCGTATACTCATGGTTCTAAAATCATATTAACTGGACCTAAAAAGCCTCTGCAAATATTTTCCTTATGAATATCACCGTCCAAGTAAGTATTGGATCACATCAAACATGAGGTAAAATTTATCATGTGTTTTGGTATATGTTTTTCTTCTCTCAGAGCCTACATTGCAAAACAGTTCTGAGGTAAGCCTACACATGTCCTGCCCCCTGTTTTATCTCCTGAATCAGAAAAAGAACCTCACAGAGGTGTTTTCAAACACTCATGGAAACTCTGGAGACTTGGAACAGCATTGCTTGCTTATTACCTGATCACGATCACCTGCAAAACAGCAGCTCTTCATGGTACATGAGTTGAAGTACCCTTGGTTGTCAAACTGGAAGACAGGCAGCCGGCAGTGGATGTCATAGAGGACTGGGGGAAGGCGCCGACGCAGTGCCAGCAGCTGGGTTCCATTGCTGTTGAACCGGACACTCATGGCACTCTGAAGGGAGAGGTTTCCACCATAGCGGAGCAGTGAACTAAGAAAAGACAGAGCAAACAAATGAGATGGGTGCACGTATGAACTGAACTACTTAAAGATAAAACTCTCTCTTTAACCTTACCGAGTCCTTTCAAACAAACAAGCCCACTAACTATAATCCTATTTAGTTTCTGCTTCAAAGCATCAATTCCTGAACAAACTTGATCCAAAACCTGAATGACAAACTATCAAAATACTAAGACTATAAAGTCTTCAGAAGAGTAAAGTTGAAGACCGTGAGTAGACTGTTAATAACAAATACATTTCCTCCATAGGAGCAAAGTCTTACCGAATAAGTAGCCTTAACCTTAAAAAGGCTGTTCTTATAATTCTGGGATGTCTGCATTTGCGACTGACCCTACCAGCACTCAGGTCTTTATGTTTAGCTAGTGCCTGAATCCAGCCAGCCCAAACTTTTTTTTTACTTCTGCTTTGGCACTGGATGGCATTTTCTCCAACTGTAGATACTCTGACCATTATCTCACTTCTGCTTCTATTTGCATTTCTACAAGGTGTCAGAGGATGTTTGAACTCTACAATCAGTTCCAGCAGTCTTAAATAAAAAGCCATCTTACAAACAAGTTATTGCAAGAAATGCTAAAATGTCACTTAGCTAATCTCAAACTTGCTTAATCTAAAAATATTGCCAAGTAAGCAAGACAATTATGCTACCACATGACACTGTTACCTAAAACTCTCACATGGTTGAATTAGCTAGTTTCCTTGTCCCATATAAGGCTGTATGATCAGAGCTGGAGTATTTGTATCAGTTCTTATTGACACATACAAGACAAAGCCAAAAGGTCACAAGTTTCCAAGTTCTCTCCTTAAAACAGTAACAGAATATGGAATTTGTTCCATCCAGGAACCTAAAGACAATCAAAGCATACCTGAAATTCAGCTTGCGTTGTATGGGCTTTCTGTTTTTTTTCAAAGACATAATTCAATCCCTGTACTTGACATGATTGTGTGTATGGAAATGGAGACAAAAAAGGAAGATATTTTATCCCTTTTTTGTTCAGTGATCACTGAAACCTCCTGAAGCAGTACCAGAGCTCGACCTTTTGTTAACAGGTTTTGAGCAATCCTGATCAAATCTTGTGAAGAGCTGTGACTTTTATGTGCCTTCTGGACCAGACAAGGCATGCCAACACGGAATTTGCACATTCTAGAGGGAAGGTTATTCATAGATTTTAATGCACTATACTTTGTGATGTAGTCCTCTGCCCCAACATTTGTGAAAAATGAGTCACTCTACATGGATGGGAAGCCACATTCCACGCAGGTTGAAGCATGCATCATTACATGAGATACTGTAAAGTTAAAAAGCTATTGTTCCTAAGCCAGAGTAAAACAAAACCAAAAAAGAAGATTCCACATAACGAATGCACTAGAAATACACTGCTCTCGCACACCACGTGCTTTGTGAACTGAACAGTCAAAGCCAGGGTGCCACAAAGGAACCAGAAGTCACATTTTCACAGCCAACTAGTAAGAGCTTCAAGCTGGGCACCAAAAATTCTAAATGCCTATATCAGCATGAAGAGTCCTGCTCTTTCACATCTGTGTGTGCATTTTCCTTCTCTTAGGCAAAGCTGCTGAGCTTCTCTTAATAGTGTTTATGTTTTTTAATAAAAACATGAAAAAATTTAATACTAGAAACTGTAACCTTAGAGACGAGGATTTAGGCTCCCCCCCATCAGCCCTAGTTTCTGTTCATCAAGATCAATGAAGTACTCAGCCAGCTCAAAATACTCAATCAGGCATAAAAAAAACCAAACCAAAACCAAAAAACCCAAAACAAAACAAAACCTTCTCCTCCCAAAAAAACCCAAAACACACATGAGGGTTTTTTTTTTTTCTTCCCCCTCTCCTAATAGGTTTACGTAAGCAAAAAAATTTTTCTATGGAAGTTTCCACTTCCTTAAAAAACCCAAACCAAACCACCAAAAAATTAAACAATAAAACCCCAAACAAAACCACACAAAACCCCGATCCAAAAAAACACGCAGAAGAAATAAAGTCAGATTTATATTTTTTTTTTGGCTAAGAAAGGTCAATTTTTCTATAAAAATGTACAAGTTCTCCACTGTGGATAAGAATGCCGTAACATATATGCACCAACCAGAATTAATGTTAAGGAGCTGTCACCCCTGCACCAAGACTAAGCCCCTCTCATCATTACCAGTTCTCCTCAATCTAAACCCCAACCCAGAATTCTCTCCTGCCTACAAGTGAGGGAGCCTACCAGATGCCCCATCCTTTCAAATCTTCAGGCAAAGTTTCCATGGTTACTATTATTATGCCCTGTCTGAAATATTTTGAGATTGTATTTTATAGTAATAGTAGTGTAATATTAAACTAGCTTCCATTCTGCTTACAGATGTTTTCATTAAGCTCCTATAGCAGTCAAAGCTACCAAAGAAAACACCTCTTGGAGTTGAATTCTGTATTGTGTTTCAGTAACTTTATTGTAACAAAGCTCTAAAAGACTATTTTACTTCAGAAATTAAATTAAATAAGACAGACTAGAACTTCAGAAATTACAATCACGTACACACATAAGAACTCTAGAATTAAGGAGCTGCATAGTTAAGACCCCTCAAAAGATCTACTGCTTTGCCTACCTCATACCCTGAATCCACACAATTCAGCCACACATGTAATGGAAATACAGTTTGTGCTGCAGTTCCTTGAACATGACATTTGGCTCAAAGGGAAAAGAACAGAGAAGAACAGAGGAGAACAGTCCGAGAGATACAATCAGAAATATGATGGGGAGGGGTATGGAGAGGTGCAGCTGATGGCTCCATGTTGGTGGAAAAGCAAGGAACCTAGCTCACAAATAGAGGACATAAAGGATTTGAGAAATCTCTCTTCCTCTGCCTCCTACTACATGCAGTGCACATGGTAGCAGTATTTAGAACTGAGGAACCCCAGGACTTCAGCATTTTCCATTATAAAATTTAGTTGATTATAGAACAATCATGCTGGTTTTAGGAAAAAAAAAAAAAAAATTGCCCAAGATGTCTTCTAGAGTATTCACCTCCATCAAAACTGTAGGAAAAAGCAGTGAGCCGTCCCCAGGGAAGAAGCTGGGGGAAGTTACGTTATTTTTTACAGTATTAAACCACTACTAATACTCATTAGTACTAAAGAGGATGTCTGAATCAAGGAACTCTTAAAAAAATCTTCTAACTAATCAGAACTAGAGCTTTTGCTCTTCCTATTTTTTTTTTTGAGTGGGGAGGGAAGAGGAAGGGGAGAGCTGTGTTAAAGCATGTTCAGTGTTCAAATGAGTACCCTCACTTTCCTGGTTGCATTGTGGTGCTGCTCTGTATCTTTAGTCAGTGCTACTTCTCGATTTTTTCATGCAGGATTACGTGGGGCAGTGGAGACATGCTTGGATATGTTGCTCATGTTAGAACTGCCACTTCTGTCTGCTCCTTATTGCATGCTCCAGCAAAGGAATTTCAGAGGGAACACCTTCTTGCACTTACTGAAAAGTTTACTTGCATCAGACTAAAAGCAATATTCCCACCTCAAAGACCAGACCGTGGTGGAGAGTGAGAAATCTGAAGGCAGTCCTACCCAAAAGGGTATATCTGAACAAGATGGGTGCCCTTTCTGCCAGAAGCATTATCTTTATGAATCCAGACCCAGACTACTGTGGGATTTAGTGTGCTTCCAAATTTTGCTCACCCAGCCTGCTGTGGAATGCTGATGTTGCCTACCAGCTCTGGAAGCAACATAGAGACAGACACATGCACTTCTGATTTTTTAAAAAAGTCATGTTGTGTGATTAAGACAAATATTTAGTCCACAGATGGAACATTACAATCCAAACACACATGCTGGAGCTGGAGGGAGGCTGAGGAGGGAGAGAACGGACAGTTATGTGCAATATGGTCATTTCCGTAGCTGGATATACTGCACACAGGGCAGCACTCAAGTGTTAACTAAATACCAGCTCAGCCAAACAATGGAAGGCTTTAAATACAGGCATAGCACCACTAATGTAAATAAATCCATTTCTACTGGCAGCTAGTGGGGTGAGGAAACAAGTAGCCTCTGCATTCAGAATTTGCAGGAAAGATCTATACCTGAAAAAAGCATTTCCCTGTGCTCCTCTCTCCCCTTTTCTAAACAAAGAAGTTGTTTCATCCTTTTTTTGAAAAATTGACTGCCTGAGTGGTAACACATGCTTAACCTAGGTTATTCAAAAGTTAGCTTGGCAAGAGACAGTGGCCATTAAAACTGAGAGAAAATCAGTGTCTTCATAGAAATAAAATAAAAGCAGCATGCATGAAGCATTAAATAGAACCATTAAATAAAACCATTAATGGCTTCTCTTGATAAGTCACAAATCTGACAGTGAACCTTAGTACAGACACTGTTCTTGGGAAATGAGTGTCATTTAAAGAGGGGGAAGGGAGGGAAGGAGGGAAGGATTGGTTGACATCATAAACAGCAGTGTGTGAAACTAACTTAATGAAAGAATGACCTTAAAAGGAAAAAATGAATTGAATGCTTGTAACTAATACACATCATTGCATACAACTGTGTTTGTCAGCATTTCTGTAACCACAAAATTGAGGAACTTCTAACTGTGCAAAAAGAACTGGAATGAAACTTGGCAAACAGAATCTTGGCCTGGAAAACTGCAGAAAAGTTTGAGGTTTTATTTGGAAGAAAATTATTCTGTGTGTGTAAAAACACAAAATTCTTATTTAGCCTGGAGCAAACACTTAGAAAGAGCCAAATTAACTAATGATAGAAAAACAACCACAGGATCGATTAACATGATTTTTTTTTAAAAGTAGATTACAAGTCTCACAGAAATCTCAAGATAGTTTCTTTGAAAAGCAGGTAAATCATGTCAAAGTATATGGAGTTTCTCCATATGTAATCAGAAGTGTTAACAAATATGAAGGAAGTTCATCAGAGTCTTAAGATTAAAAAAGTACACAAGCCATACCCAGGATTTTATTATTTCTC